TACTCTCTCCAAACCAAAGATTCAAGAAGGTATAAAGAAATCCTTCTTCTTACAATACTTGAGAAGCTGTCAAATAAACAAACACCCTAGGTTACATTGTGACACTGATTCACTAGTGTTCTTTTTATCTAAAAATTTGTTCCTGTTAGGAGTAATTTGCAAAAAATTGGGAAGCCCAGCCCTTATCAAGCAAAGAAATCTGATTACCTAAGGGCTATGCCAAACAAATAATGATCTCCAGAGGACATATTAGTCCTGTGGACTCAATTAAAATGCACAGTGGACACAAGGGTTGAATGGATAAAGACAAAATATTATCTGAGCATGAAGAAATGATGGTTTAATTTAGTGAACTAAGGAGATTAGAAAAAAGTCATTATGTTTTTAATCCCCTTTCTAGAAATGCAGGAACATCCCTCTATCAACCTAAACTATGTGTGGGATGATCATTCCACTATGAGATGACTCTCTGAAGCTGAGTTGACATCATTTTAATAAGAAGTCAGCTATAAATAAAACTCAGATTAGTTATATGTGTGCAGAAAATCATTTATTTCTAAGTTTCTAAGTAAAATCCAGACAAAGCTAGGGCTACAGGTAGTCTATGAATTTTCTTATTTTCTACATCTCTAGAAAATTTACTTCTTCTCTCATGATGTAGGATCCTTCCATACACCCCACCTTGGACATGTACAAAGGAGTATTCTTCAGATTTTTATATTTATCTTCTTTCTTTCTTTCCTATAGCAGTATTAAATACAGTGAATATTTGACAGGAACATTTAACTAAAAATTTTTAACATTTACCTTAGCTTTGTTTAGCCCATCTCCTTTAATATCAAGACTTATAATGAAGCAGTAATATTCTCAACTAATAGAATCCAACCACTGTATATTTTTATTTTTACTTTAAAATTGATTGCTAACTTCTGTACTTGTAGATCTACAATACAGTAGGCTATAAACGCCCATGGGGAAATGGTTGTATTTTGTTTAAGTGTGACTGTTTTTCTGTCTTTTCATGTGTGAATGAACACTCCAGCACCATGAACAGAGATCCAAAAAACTTCATTATGACACCTAAAATAGAGGCTTATGGGGCACTAGCATAGTATCTATAGATTCTATAAGGTAGTGTCATTAATTGAGATTTCAAGTTAAATGAGCATGAAGAAAGATTGTCCAGAATACAAGGGACCTTCGTAAGTTTTATTACACTGACAGCCTTTATAAGAAATATTCACCATAATCATTGACTGTCATTTGTGTTATACAAATTTCATAAGCTTTCCAGTATAAGTTTTAAATTCCCTGGCTAATGGAGCACCTTGTGGTGCCAAACTATAGAATTACTCAATACCATAATGTTAAATTTCTTTGTGTATTATACTGCTACTACATCAAAACAAAGAAATGTACATCTGAGTGCCAGTGGCTCAGAGTTAATTCACCCCCCTTTCTTAAACATACTGCCAATATGGGGATAAAACCTGCAGCAAATAATCTATCTGAAAATCATATCCAAGAGACTGCACTAAGTTGTTGTATTTTTCCCCTGAAACCTGGTGTTGGATTTTCAGGAACTTCAAAGGAGGCAAGAATAACAGGCTTGCTTACCTTTGGGATAATCCTTGAAAATACTCAGCATCATTTAATTATTTTATATCAGTGCTGGGGTGTTTGAAATCATGTCCTGCGTGCTGTCTAGCATTTTCACTCCAGGCTTGAGCTCTCCCACCTGAGCCACAGCTTTGCTTCTGGAGTCTCAGTTACAATGCTTGATAAGAAATGTACTCATTATCTTGCCCATGTAATTGTAACCCCTCTGTACAGTATTTTCACAATAAAAAAAACAAATGCATGATACAATCATGCAAACATCATACTGGATCCTTACATCTGAATAATAATTGATCTTGAGGATGTCCGTGTATATATAGATCCTCACTGTGATATATATATATATATCACAGTGAGGATCTATGGTCTTCATTAGTATGATATGAAAATTGCAGACCAACTCCAGAAGCATATTACTCATGGAACAGCATATGTTTCTCCTTGATTTGCTTTTTTATTAGCATGATTGATCTGAAATTTTATTACCATTTAAATTATTATCTATCATTGCCTTACTCATGCAACTGTACAGCATTTTTACAATAAAATAAAATGTAACAAAAAAAGAGTGACACAACAGTGTTTTAAATACATCATATGTATCTTGTTATCAAAACAAGTTCTGTTGTTTTTTTTAATTTGAAAAGAGAAATATTATGGTTCAATTTAAGATCGTATAATTTTCTCACAGGTATGAAATTCTTAGTCAAATTCATGTAAGGTCTATTAAGATACTAATAGGATGTTAAACACAAAGGAAACTAGATAGGCAACAGTGATACACAGCTATAGTCCCTTCACTGGGAGGAGTAACTGATATTCAAAACAGGCAAGGACCACATTAGAAACATGGAGAATTCCTGCATCAATATAACTGTGTGCCCTAGGGAAATTTTGCTTACTTATTCCAAAGTGAAAAGCAATATCTGATTTTACATTTAGATTCAGGAAATTGAATCCTATGTCTGGAAATATATTTGCTATTTATCTGAGCCATCAGCCTCCTTAGGAACTGGATAATCAAGGATATGCCTAAGACATTCCAAATCTTACCTCCAAGTCTTTGCTCTATTAGATTACATAGTTGGAATCTGTTTGTTGTAAAATCTGCGCAATCACAGACATTGAATTACAATGACATGATTTAACAAAGTTCAGTTTCCTATCAGCAGTTCCTCCTGAGCATCCCCCTGGGTAATGTTTGCCAGTATGTCAACAATAAGAGAATAAATGAGGAAGTTGTTTAGGAACTGAATTAGAATTGTAAATTTTAGAGTCCACTTACAATGACAACTATTTTTATCAAACTTTTATTTACATCAATATTGCAAATTAAAGTATATGCTTACTAATTGTTCCTGTAACTCTTCTGATGATTATTCTGGATAACTTCTCTGTCAATGCTAAGAAAATTATAGACAAAATGTATTGTACAGAGTAAGTTGAAAATTTTACAATACAAAGTTAATAAATCACATTGAATTTAGGAATCTATACATGGTCATATTTAAGCTAAAGAATAAGTCAGCCAGGCACTGGTGGCTCACATAATCCTACTACTTTGGAGGCTGAGATCTGAGGATCACAGTTCAAAGCCAGGCTGGGCAGGAAACCCCATGAGATTCTTATCTCCAATGAATCACCAGAAAACCAGAAGTGGCACTGTGGTTCAAGTGGTAGAGCACTAGTATTGAGCTGATGTGCACAGGGACAGTGCCCAGGCCCAGAGTCAAGCCCCATGACTGAAAAAAAAAAAAAAAAGGAGTGGTCATCTGAGTATTCTGAAAAGTAACATGAGATATTTCTAGGAGAAGAAACAGTATGAATGTTAACAGCATACTTCTATTCTCTAAAAACAGTGGTTTTTTGCGTAGAATGTTGAAAAATGACAAAATCTAAGTGGAGGATAGCACAAGTGGTGGAGCACACCTTGAGCAAATAAGCTAAGACCAAAAGACCCTGAGTTCAGTCCCAGTCTCTCTCTGTCTCTGTCTCTCTATGTGTCTGTCTGTCTCTCTCTCTCTCTCTCTTTCTCTCTCGCACACATACATACACACCAATGAATCACTAGAACTTTCAATAATTAGGACCTTACTCTAACATTTGAAATAGAGGCTGAAATCACAGTGGTTTGTTGTTGCTGTTGTTATTGCTTTATTTTGTTTTTGCCAGTCCTTAGGACTGAACTCAAGGCCTGGGCACTGTCCCTCAGCTACTTTTTGCTCAAGCCTAACACTCTACCACTTGTGCCACACCACTACTTCCAACATTTTGTTTTCTGTTTTTGTGGTACTGAGGAATCAAACCCAGGGCTTAATTCATGCTAGGCAAGCACTCTGCCACTAAGTCATATTCCCAGCCCAGAAATCACACTTTTATTATTTATTCATTAGATATATGTTCTTCATTTTGAATTACATCAAATCATTTCTCATTATCATTCATTTTGACATAACATTTTAATTTCTTTTGTTTTTCTTTTAATTTCTCAAAATTTGCTTTATTAAAATAAGTTTTATAATATTTATTTTACATGGAATTGAATAAACCAGATGATATATTTCTAAAATTCTGTACAGTTTTATTGTAAAAATGCTGTACAGAGGTGTTACAGTTACATGAGTAAGGTAATGAGTACATTTCCTATTGAGCTTAAATTGTCAAAATTTCATCTGGTATATAATCAAGATTCCTAAATATTTGACAAACTTGTATGCAACTAGAATTTAATTATATTAATTTTGAAAAACTCTTTATAAAGAGAAAATAGGAAAATGTTAAAGAGAAAATAGGAAAATGTTAAATATTTTTAAATGATTGTCATAGTTTATATACAAACTTGTATATGTTTCAAATCATACTTAAACAACATAGTCATCTATGATAAAATAATGTTAATATTTAAGAAATTTGAATCCATTCCCATATGATAGAAAGAATAATGTAAAATAATTATAAAAAATATATTCAAGTTCTCAATGGAGTGACTTAATAGTAAGCAATGTAAGTCATAGAACACCAAAGAATTTTAAGTTTAAATCTCATTCAGTGAATCTCAGATATTAATGTTTCATTAAAATTAAAATTAATTATAGCTGGGCATCAGGGTCTTGTGACTATAATCCTTTCTTCCAAGGTAGGTAAGATCTAAGAATCATTGTTCAAAGGCAGCCTGTGGAGGAAAGCTCTTCTCTCCAAAATCTATTTTAAAAAAGCCAAAATTTGGTGCTATAGCTCAAGTGGTAGAGCACTGGTTTTGAGCACATAGAGGCTCAAGGACAGAGTTCCAATCTGAGGAATGTCAAAAGAAAAAGGAAATAATAACTTTAATTGTAACAAAATATTAATTGGATTTAATACTAATATCAGTTAATTAGGTATTAATATTTTTCTGAATAAATACTTCTTAATATGACTTTATGTACAGCCTGCTTTATCTGTTTGTTTCGAAGACTGTAGATCACAGGATTCAGGAATGGTGGAACAATGGAATAAAATGCAGATAGAAGCATATCCTCAATTATTTCAGTGTTTGGTGACTGCCTTAAGTACACCACGGAACCACTACTAAGAAACACAGACACCACAAGAACATGAGGCACACAGGTGAAAAAGGCCTTTCCTCGATCTTCTTTACCTGGAATCTTCATCACTGTTGAAAATATGTGAACATATGACAAGACAATGAAGATAAAGCAGCCACCGCCTATTCCCACAGCCGACAAAAGAAGTAAGAGTTGGCTGCTAAAGGTGTCTGAGCAGGACAACTTCAGCAGAGAGGGGATATCACAAAAGAACTGACTGATCACGTTGGATTGACAGAATGTCAGTCGGAAAGTGTTGCCAGTGTGAAGAGCTGCATAGATGAGACCACTAAGTAGGGAAACCAGTGTGGTCTGGACACAGAACAGGTGGTTCATGATGACATGGTAGTGTAGGGGCTGGCAGACAGCCACGTAGCGGTCCTGGGCCATGATTGTGAGAAGCAACAATTCCACACTTGCACAAAAAAGTACAAAAAATACCTGCATTCCACAGCCAGTTACAGAAATTGTCCTGTTGTTGGTGAGGGAGTTGATACAGGCATTGGGGACAGTGACAGAAATGTAGCACATATCCAGGATAGATAAATTCCTGAGGAAGAAGTACATGGGTGTGTGCAGGTTCTGGTCAATGGTGGTAACAGTGATGATGATCAGATTCCCTAACAGGGTGGCCAAGTACATCATCAGGAACAACATAGAGAGCAGGAGTCTGAGCTCCCACACCTCAGCAAAGCCCTCCAGGAGAAACTCAGTCACTAGGCTGACATTGGCCATGCTCTGAAAAGTAAAAGGAGGGCAATAACCATAAAATATTTGATAAGATGATCTCTAGTTATTTCTTTTTAAAGTGTTTTCTTCTGTTGTCTATATGACTGTCATGTGTTGAAAATTTCAACTAGTCAACATACATTTTGACTACTCCTAGCAGATTAAAATATAAAAAGAAAAGAGAACACTCCATTTTATTGACTCAGTTTACCTTAAATACTCTTACTCTGTTTCTTCAATAAAAAACAGTTCATGGCTTTCACTGTGTTATGAAGATTAATTTGTTTAATATCAGTCCATTTCATATTACTGAATAATTATCTTCATTAGTCTTGAATATTCAAAGGGAGTCGACCTGTAGATCTCACATATATATATACACATATACTTATATACATATATGAACACCTGTATATTTATCATTGTCATTTTATTTTATTAAACAATATGATTACATATTTATATATTTTAAGAATGAAAATTAGTTTTCAGATATGATTACAAGCACATTATATAAATCCTATATGATTATGAGGGGGTAGTCCTGGGAATTGAAAACAGGATCTGGGTACTATTCTGAACTTCTAGCTCAAGGTTAGAGCTCTACCAGTTTAGCCACAGCTTCACTTCTGGCTCTTTTGATGCTTAATTGGAGGCTTTCAAAGACATCCCTGCTTGGGCTGGCTTTGAACAGCAATCTTTAGATCTGAGCCCCCTGAGTAGCTAGGACTCCAGGTGAGAAACACTGGTGTCACAGGTTTTTGCCATCAATGTCCACACATTCTTACAAGTTGACAATGCCCTATTATCCAAATATGCTTTCTGTGATATTTGTTATTTTAAATATAATTTTACCAGTATATTTTGTGATAACATTGAAAAGATAAACTCAGCACTAATTTAGGGAATTAATGAGATCAAGTGTATAGTAGCTCATTTGATAAATACTGTCCAAGAAGAGAACGATTTCTTTATGGCCATGTACATCTTTGAAATTCACTGGAAAACAGAATGTGAATGCTTTGTATTCATTTCTCTTGACGAGTACATCATTTTAATTAAGGAATGGAATATTTTCTACTTTAATCTCTGAATATATTTATCAATCTTAGTCATTCAGGTCATATTCATCATATGCTGACTGTTTTCTCCATTAGATCTTAAAAAAAAATGTCAAGGGGCTGGAAAGGTGGCTCAGTGGTAGAGCGCTTGCCTTGCATGCCTGAGGCCCTGGGTTTGATTCCCCAGTACCACATAAGCAAAAAGAAAAAAGCTGGAAGTGGTGCTGTGGCTCAAGTGGTAGAACGCTAGCCTTGAGCTGAAGAACTGAGGGACAGCGCCCAAGCCCAGAGTTCAGGCCCCATGACTGGACCCCCCCCAAAAAATGTCAAGTGAGGGGCTGGGAAGGTGGCTCAGTGCTAGAGCGCTTGCCTTGCATGCATGAGGCCCTGGGTTCGATTCCTCAGCACCACATAAGCAGAAAAAAAAAGCCGGAAGTGGTGCTATGGCTCAAGTGGTACCATGCTAGCCTTGAGCTAAAGAGCTGAGGGACAGTGCCCAGGCCCAGAGTTCAGGCCCCACAACCGGACCCAAAAAAAAAATGTCAAGTGAAAATACTGTTATAAATACTTCCTTAATCAATACTTACAGTTTTATTCAACCAGCTTTATATTTTGTTTAGAAACCTCATACTGTCTGGAGTTATAGAAAGTATAGTGTGACTACTCCCCAATATATTGTATGTCCCCACTCAAGGGTGAATTATATTGTTGGTATTTCTTTGTATATTTGGCAGCAAATAAATGTTACCAACCTGATGGATAAGATTATTTCAATACAACTAATTTATCACTAATATTATTCCCTACACTAATTTATTTTTGTATGTTTTTATTGTAAAAATGCTGTACAGAGGGGTTACAGTTACATGAGCAAGGTAGTGAGTACATTTCCTATTGAGCATTGTTGCCTTCCTCCTTGCCTACACTAAATTATTAATAAATGCCAGCAAAAGAAATAATTAAATTCTTACATAATGCCATTGAATGATGTAGGTACAGACAGGAATAGAATAATGAAACTCATTTGCTAAAGTTTGACTAGCGCAAATTAGATTTTATCTCATCCTTTGTAGTCTTCAGGAATTTGTTCATATTTTGCCCAAAATTAGCTGGGATATAATTCAGATAGGAAGGTTTGTGTTGGAAGAAAGCTAGTCATTTTCTGAGATGGAATTCTACCAAGTGAATATATATATATATATATATAAAGTTATGAATGATATATATTTGAATGAAAATAATTTATAATATAATAATATTTAATACACTATAGTCTAATAGAGATAATATGTGATGTAAGCAGGAAATAAGCAGGGTACTGGTGGTTTTTGTCTGTATTCTTGCTACTGGGGAAAAGATGAGAAGGACCCTAGTTTGAGGTCAATCTAGATAGAAAATTTTGCAAGACCCTTCTCACCTGTGAGTTGGATAAAGCCATGTACACCTGTTATTCTAGCTCTGATGGGAATAGATGACTCACAACCAGGTACATATTTAGGCAGGATGAAAACTCCTGTTTTCAAAACAAACAGTGAAAAGCAGGTAAGAAGTCAGTTTCAGCAGTAAGAAAAGCTTCTCTACAAGTACTATACCCTAAATTTATAGCCCTGAACATTTCAAAAAAGCTTAGAAGAAAAAAAAACAAGAAAATAATTGGTAAGACTAATCCTAATAGAAAACAAACATTTCACCATCTACAAACACCCATACTCAATGCTTTCCCCAGTGTTCACAGAAGCTGGCTTGTTACACATGATTTCAAACAGATTCTAAAGAGTTTTGTAAAGTCACTAACCAACAAAAAAATATATAAAAGTTTAAGGTAAAGTCATATCAAAATAAAGGATAATATAATATTGCTATGGTAATGTAAAATATTCAACCTTAATATAAAAATATAGCCAAAGCAATAAAAATTCCACCAAAAACTTGAATGACACACAGTATAAATGCATATAAAATGTAATATCTGAAATTTATAACAGTCTAACAGTCTGGAGTAGTTAAAGTTTGAAATGTTTGCGTGATATTAAAGGTAAGCTGTTAATAGCTGAATCAAAGAAAATTAAAAACTTTTATATAATCTTCATAGTAATAACAAACAATGGCATAGTAAACATAAAAAATTAAAAACACCAAAGTTTATCATTTTAAAGAAATCATCAATTACAACCCAGACAACATAGGAAGGAAGCAATAAAGCAACTATGAAGGAGGGAAAACAAAGTTGTTTAGTTAGCAATAAATCTTTTATTTTCTGGAGTCAGATTTATTGATTGCAGCTTATCTTAAGAACAATAAACTTGTAATGGATTAACAACAGGTATGAAAGTAAAATTATTACCTAGTGATAAGAAGGAAATTTTATTTATACAGAGGCATGAACAAATACAGTATCTTAATCATTGTTCATATTTTATATCAAACAAAATTTCAATTTCATGAAAACAATGAGAAATATGCATTTTTGAGATCAACTAAAAATAAATCTTTTGTTCAAATCAGTTGTGGTATGGCAAGTATTGAAAGCCAGGCACATTCCCATTATAATTTGTTAAGGTCTAGCAGATTGCTATGGAGATTCCTATAGAACCACTGCAAAATTGAGAGTGAAGTTAAATACCTGAGGAACTTTTAGTAGCAATGTTAACAACACCAAACCCTAATTTTATAAGTAGATATAAGAAATTAATACTGGTTACATTTTTAAAAAACTATATTTTGTGCAATTGGTGCTGAACTCAGAGCCAGCTCTATCCTTTATAGTTTTTTGCTCATGGCTGTCACTCCAACAATTACTAGAATCAAAGCTAAACTTTCAGCTTTTTTTAGTTAATTGAACATTTGAGTGTCTCAGACTTTCGTACCTGGTCTGGCTTTGAGCCAGTATTAGGATTATATGCTCTACTGAAGCCAGGGCAAAACCTATTTTGAAAGGATTATTTAATTAAAAAACATATATTCATTACCTTATCAAATAACTCATTTAAACAAAACTAAAGAAGGAAACATTAAGACTGATGAGACAGGCCAAACACTAGAGGCTCATTCCTGTAATGTACATACTCAGGATGCTGAGTCCTCAAGTATCAGTGCTCAAACACCAGAGCAGGCAAGACAAATCTATGACACTCCATCTCCAGTTAAGTAGGAAAAGCCAGTGTGGCCCACGTGTTAGAGTCAGCCATGTGTGCAAGGCAAATTCACAAGACTCTGATTATAATACCCAGTACTAGGCATAATAAATAAGTACATAAATACATAATTTAATATCATGCCACAAATAAAAGAAGCAGAAAAGCTTAGGATAAATAATTGTAAGTCTGCAAAATCAATAAACATCCATGAAATCTTAATATTCTGAATTTGCTCAGATAGTATAAACCAACACACATTAAATACTTTGGTTAATCAAAAACTCCACAAGAACTAAAACAGAATTCAGGCAGTGTTCAACACCACAGCACTTGTGATCTATTGGGGCAGAAACATCGCTTACAAAAACCATTTTCACTATACAATTTTCTATTTCTGGCATAAAGACCTAATGAGACTTCTGTTAATTCAGCACATATCCATTTATATAAATAGTGACATATAAAGGACACATTCACACTTTTAAGTCTACAATAAGTTTTAGATTAGTGGAGAAACAATGAGATGTACAAGTCGTTATGTCGAAAACGAACTTACAACTTTGGTGCGGGGGTGGGGGGGTTGGGGGAAAGAGTGGGGAGGATTGGGGGGGAGGGGAGAGGATGGGAAGGGGAAACAAAGGAGGAGGCTACAAGGCTTGAGAAGAAATGTACTCATTATCTTGCCCATGTAATTGTAACCCCTCTGTACAGTATTTTCACAATAAAAAAGAAATATTAAAAAAAGAAATATGATGAGCAATATAGCATAGGCTAAAATTTTATTGCTGTTGAGTCAGAGTAACATATA